CTTAATCTTCACTCAAACAAGTGTGTAAACAGATTAAACATCACTCTAATAACAAGAGCAAAAATAAATAGTAAGAATTAGTCAGTTATTTAAATTGATAGCTACCTTTCTTAGTGCTGCATTTTCTGAGCATCATGTGGAGATTAGCCTCTCTCTCCTGCAGGGAGCAGGTTTTATCACTGCTCTCGTCATGTCGCTCATATTCCAAAACAAAAGCTGCGCTCTCCTTTCTTCTGTCCATCAATCCCAGAGCTAATCCACGGATGTCAAAACTGTAAGCGTGCTGTCCTCGCTTCTGCCAGCTTAGAACCACCGACCGGACCAGAGAGGAGGTTCTGAAACAGTGCGGCTGTGTGCGGTCACTGGACCGAGGCTGAACGAACCGAGCCGAACCACAAAGCTGCTGCCAGGGTGGAGAGTAGTTGTCGCTCCGGTTTAAAACGTTCACGGTTCTGTTCCCCCTCTGAAAACTTGTGCGTAACAACTTTGCACTTAGCTGCAACTCTGTTTCTGATGAAAATAGAAAGTTCTGCCGACATTCTTGCTAACTTGTGAGCGCTACATGCTGGATCCAAGCTCTGCTGGATAGAAACACTGGAGCGGAGTCAGTGAACTGCTGGAACGGACTGCTAATGTCAGAGAGCTTATATCAGACATTTCTTATGCAGGACGATAAAATCTGATACACGTTTTTTTGGCTGATATCGGACCGATATCAGATATCAATATTGTATCGGGACACCCCTACTCAAAAATTCATAATTTTCACAGACACACACATGTAGAGTGGGTGGGGGTGCAGGTGGGGGAGATGAAGGCGTCTGCAACACAAAGCAGGAAAACTGTAAAATAAATCTGAAACTGTTTTTTTCAAAAACTCTGTAAAACTTAAAAAAATCAGTCAGATTGCTCCCTGTACGTTTTCTGCAAAATGAGGGAAAATCTGAGTAAATTATAATCTGTACAACTTGACATGTATAAATTTTAATCTAACAATGACTCTTCAGTCAGTTTTTGCTGTGAGACTGTCTGTCCCGATGAAACAAAAGAAAATGTTACTGTTTCTGGATTGTGTTTGTTTTAATTTCAGAGTAGGACCTTTTTCACTGTTTCTGACGCACCGAACCACCTACTACAACCTTCCCCTGTTGCTTCGTGGGTTGTAGTAGGTGCTGAGTCATGGTTTTTGATGTGGTGGAATATGCTGAGTCATGGTTTTTGATGTGGTGGAATATGCTGAGTCATGGTTGTTGCTTGTGTTTGTGATGCAGCTGTGGTTGAGATCATGGAGGGGAAGCGGACGAAGAAGACGGTGGAGCGGCTGGACTTCCAGGCTCCGAAACAGATGGAGAAGCTGAAGATCGGAGACGGTAGGTGAGCTCAGGTGAGCGTCAGCCTCTGATGATGTCAGAGACTCTGACAGGTGTGGATGTTTTCAGGTGGAGGAGATAAACTGGGAGACATTCCTCGTACCAACTACCAGATCACCAGGATGAAGCCGGAGGACCTGAAACCTCTGCACAGCATCCTGTTCGACAGGCCAGGGAAGGTCTGCTCAGCTGCTGCTAACTTCAGCTGCTGCTAACTTCAGCTGCTGCTAACTTCAGCTGCTGCTAACTTCAGCTGCTGCTAACATCAATAGCTTCTAACTTCAGCTGCTTTCTAACTTCAGCTGCTGCTAACATCAGCTGCTGCTAACTTCAGCTGCTGCTAACTTCAGCTGCTGCTAACATCAATAGCTTCTAACTTCAGCTGCTTCTAACTTCAGCTGCTGCTAGCATCAGCTGCTGCTAACATCAGCTGCTGCTAACATCAGCTGCTGCTAACTTCAGCTGCTGCTAACTTCAGCTGCTGTTAACTTCAGCTGCTGTTAACTTCAGCTGCTGTTAACTTCAGCTGCTGCTAACATCAACTGCTGCTAACTTTAGCTGCTTCCACCTTCAGCTGCTGCTAACTTCAGCTGCTGCTAACATCAACTGCTGCTAACTTCAGCTGCTGCTAACATCAGCTGCTAACATCAACTGCTGCTAACTTCAGCTGCTGCTAACTTCAGCTGCTGCTAACTTCAGCTGCTGTTAACTTCAGCTGCTGCTAACATCAGCTGCTGCTAACATCAGCTGCTGCTAACT